ATTTTTTTAGTGGAGTTGGAGTTGAGGCAACTGGACGACAGACTCCTCAAGCTTCTGGCTTATCAGCGGATCCAGCAGCTGGTCAACACCCCCCCGTCCCCGAACAACCTCTTCTCGGCGAGTCTGAAAGAGAAATTCCGTCAAATGCCGCTGCCCAGCGAACTGCTCACCCCCGCCGACATCGACAGGATATCGAGGGTCTTCTCCAGCCCCAAAAAGAAAACCAAGCCGAAATCTACCATCCGAGCCCGTGCCATGCTCTGCCCTGTCGTCTCTAAGCACTTCTACAACGTGAGGACGACGGAGGTCGACCCGACCGAGGTGAGGCACGATGCCAGCTTCATGGGCTTCCGACCCACCGTGTCGGCCAGGTTCCCTGAGGCGGTCGCCATGCGGTACAGGGTGCTGAACGTGGGCAAGGGCTCGGCCAACGACGTCGACCTGGAGAAGTTCGGTTACTGCAACTTCATCGTTCCCAAGCACGCCGTCATCTTCTACGACGAGGTACGGTGGTCGTTTAAAAGTCTTTACAGTTGTCTTGGAATCTGATTGTTTCAGTACACGAAGCACTACGAGCTGATAAACTACTCGCCGTATGGGACGTACGTCAATAACGTGCTGTATTCCAACAACGTGTCGGCGAAACGTTCGGAGGCGAACGTTTCGACGGACGAGAAGAGTGCCAACGTGGAGATGCAGGTGAGGGAGATAATCGACAAGAAGAGGAAGATCAGCAGGGCCAGGAAGAGCTCGTTCGAGAGCAAGATGTCGGCCGTAGACTGCATTGACAAGTAAGTGCAGGATTTTGGTTTATGTAAAACGTCTGCTATGGGGAGCGCAAGATTTAAGGGAGATTTCGGGTGACAATTAGCGAAATACAGGGTGTAAGTAAAATGCTTGTGAAACTTTAATGGACGATTCTACGAATCAACGAAAAAAGTATTTTTCTATAAATATGTGTCTGCGGAGTCCAATTTTTGGAAATTGGGGTTAATCTCGGGTTTCTCAATTTCTAGGGTCCCAGAATTGGATTGGAAAAAAAAATTAATTTGTTTGAATTGCAAAAAAACCCGTAGAGCAATTTCTGTCAAATTTGGCGTGTATCTTTAACTTTTGATTGTCCACAAATGCTGACCTTTTCTTTGGAAATGTCTCGGTATATTTTGTTAAAATATGAATTAATTTTGATGTATTTTTTTTGTGAATTCAAGACTTGATTATGAAAAATTGTGTACATTATTATTTTTCAAAGTATTGTCTATCGCTAACCACTACTTTTTACTTTTGATTTTAATTATTAATATTAAGTTAACGTAAATGGATAACTAAACCTGAACAAAGTTGATGTACAGAAATATCAAATATCAAAAAAAAAAAATATGTAGGAAAAACAAAAAACTTTAATAAGATTATGCTCTATTTCACAAACTACTTTTTTTCTTATATAAAAATTAATAATGGTACCATTTGTAGCTTTATGTTAAGTTGGTTAGGAAAGATTACCTTAACTACTGGTAGGTCAAATGTGGCAATTGTAGTTTATTTGTTTATTAGGTTGATATAAAAATCAGAGAATTTTTGTTATGATTGAGACTTATTTAATTTGGCATATAGTGCAAAAAACAAAGTTTTTCTACGAAAATACTGCATTTTGCCAGATAGTCCTGTAGCCAGGGGGGTCCCCAATTGCCTCCTTCATTTAGATGGAGTTACCCAAGTGTTTTTTGTGTATTTTGAGCTGCAGAACACGAATTTTTTGGGTAGAAGTTTGCCCGGATGTCGATAAGTTTTTTATTAACAAAAAACTTGCAAAATACTGAGAACTTAGTTTTTGGCAAAAGTTTTGTTATTTGACCCATTTTAAGAAGAAAATGTCTTTTGCAATTTTTTCGTTAAATGCATAGTTTTCGAGATAAACGCCGTTAAAAACTCGAAAAATGCAAATTTTGCGATTTTCAATCGTTAATAACTTTTGATTGAATAGGTATTTTGTAATTCTGCTGACGGCGTTTGAAAGTTCACGTTAAATACTACAAATTATGAGTAATTGCAGTGTGACAATTTGTTTCCACTGTTATTTGAGGCTATAAACAAATAGCGATTGAGCATTCAGAAGGGTGCGCCGCCATGTATGTAAGAGAGCGGTTGCCTTCTTACAGGCGTTTAATACACGATCTTGACGCGTACTCTTCATTTTTAGACCAAAGAAACGAGGAAAACTGAACGAAACATTAACAATTTAATGAATATTTGCAATATTACGATAATTAAAATTAGAATTTTTTTGACAAATAATGCAAAGATCTGATTTAATTAAGCTATTCATCTTGTAACATGAACGTTAATAATTCTACATCTTCAGTACAATTTTGAAGCGCGACTACAAACAAGTTTTAAAAATAAATGACAATCGTTTAAAACAAAATGCATTAAAAAGACGCGGAAAATTTAACGTGAACATTCAAACGTCGTCAGCAGAATTACAAAATACCTATTCAATCAAAACTTATTAACAATTGAAAATCGCAAAATTCGCATTTTTCGAGTTTTTAACGGCGTTTATCTCGAAAACTATGCGTTTCTTCTTCTTAAAATGGGTCAAAGAACAAGAAAATACTTTTTATTTTGCCAAAAACTATAAGTTTTCAGTATTTGGCAAGTTTTTTGTTAATAAAAAACTTATCGACATCCGGGCAAACTTCTACCCAAAAAATTCGTGTTCTGCAGCTCAAAATAAACAAAAAACACTTGGGTAACTCCATCTAAATGAAGGAGGCAATTGGGACCCCCCTGGCTACAGGACTAAGAATATACAGGATAAAATTTCAAATGGGATTGTAATTCAATCGTAATTTTTTTTTTCCTTTATTCAACCGGTCAAACATTCGTGCATGCATTGTTGCCAAGTTT